GTTTTTTTATGAATAAAATATTAAAAATTATTTTTATAAGTGTTGTTTTTATATTAGAATCAAATAATAAAAATGATATTTTACTCAAAAAGTAATATAGGCTAAATTTTGTCTTTGGTGTACTCATTTTGCTTCATAATTGTTATTATGAGTATGTGATTCATGTAAAAATTATGAAAATTTTCGTTTTCAGTTGTCATTTACTTATTGTGGACCAATTTGTCAAAAGAAAAGTCGATTATTATTATTGGCAGTTCAGCTATCGTCACAGGTGATTGAAAACTCAATTGTAGAGTTGTCCCAATAACCAAAACAAACAAAGGATTAGGCAATGTATCTACACACATACCATACTAAAGTAATAACTAATAACTACTAAGAATATCCACAACAATGCAATTGCAAAACCAATTGCATATATTGTCTATATTGTACCTTATATATTATGCAATTGGTAGTTATTAATTTGTGAAATGCATATTGATACAATTCGCTTGCAATTGCATCAAGTGATTTTCTAATAAAAATAAATGAATGAAGTGATAATTGATGAATAAATTATTTTTATCTATGTGATTTACATTTTGAATTTCATAACTTGCATTTTTGTAGTTCACTTGATGTAATCTCCTTTCCAATTGCATATTGCCACGTAAGATTTGCAGTTCAACTAACAACTACTTTGGCTGAAAAATTGCATTCTCCTTTCTCCCTCCCCATTCTTTCCATCTTAAGCAATCCAATCCAATTCCTCTTTTTCTCCTTTTTTTTTGGTAATAGCCTTTTCTCTTCTCTAACTCTAAGACTTAATCATTACTATTGTCAGAGGACCATCCAAGCAAACAACATCCCAGGCATCCCCCTTTTTTTTATCTTCATTACCATTTGCTCCTTTGGAGTGTAAGGTGGGTACCTAACCTTGGAGATGCATCCCCATTGAAGTTCTGTTAAGCACTGACTTCTTGTGGCTGAATGCATCAAATGAGAATTTGCCATGGTATGATCCCATCTCACTCTTCCCAACGAGAGATGATCCAGTGATTAGGGGTGCTTAGTCACTTGACTAAACCCCTTCTAGCCCTTAGATCTGGATATAGTAATCTGATGGTTAAAAAGTGGGAAGAGCTATTTAATTAATGACAGGGGTAGTTTGGGTATTATGAAAAATTATGAAGTATACAAACCGGACTTACAATCAGTACAAACCATACAAACATACGAACAGTACAAACTAGAGCGAAAAAACATACAAACATTACAAACATATGAACTGTACAAAAAAATACAATCTAGACCGACAAACAATACAAACCATACAAAAAGAAAAACAACCAGGTTGACTTTGGAGGCTCCATCCCTATATAGAGGGGCTCCTTCCCAAAGTCAACCCTGGTGTTTTTTAGACATACAAACATGGTGGACAAAAATGACAAACTAGACCAAAAATTCATACAAACTAGAAAAACACCCGGGTTGACTTTGGAGGCTTCATCCCTATATAGAGGGCTCCGTCTCAAAGTCAACCCGGTTGTTTTTTAGACATACAGATATTACGAACATGGTGGACAAAAATGACAAACTAGACCGACAATTCATACGAACTGGAAAAAACACCCGGGTTGACTTTGGAGGCTCCATCCCTGTACAGAGGAGTTCCATCCAAAAGTCAACCAGGTTGTTTTTTGGACATAAAAAATATTACAAACATGGTTGACAAAAATGATAAACATGGTGCACAAAAATAACAAAGTTTACACATTACAAAAAACCCGACAAACATTACAAAATAAACCGATAAATAGTACAAAACATACTAACCATACAAAATGTCACTAAAAATGACAAACAATACAAAACGAATCTATAGAAACATTACAAAATAGGTCAGCAAACATCACAAAATTCAACACTGTCGCCGGGAAATTTCCTCCGATCGCCGAAAAACTCTCTCTCTCTCACAGCCGTTGGGAAAAATCCCTAGGAAACAAAGAATAGCGAGAAGGCCAATGAAAGAAAGAATGACCAGAAGGCCATGGAATAATTCCGGTGCTGGGAAAAATCCCCAGGAACAAAGAACAAAGAATGGCCAGGGAAAGAAAGAATGGCTAGAAGGCCATGGAATAATTTCGGCAAGGGGATCCGACAAAAAATATCTCGCGCGAGGGACCGGCGGAATGTCACCAGTGAGGGGCGGGAGAAATCACGCTGGATGTGTTTTTTTATTTTAATTGTTAAATAAATTAAATGTGTAATTACCATATTAGCCTTCATTAAACTGAATAAATTAGGACCATTAAATTTTAATGAAGTTGAATGACTGAGATTGGTTTAGTCATGTGACTAAGGGACCCCCTAGTCACCTAATTTTAGCCCCTTCCCAACCTTCCAGATGTTACCTGCACCAATGTTTTCAAACTGTATGCCAAAGATTCACTAAATAATCAAAACGTCTGAAGGAGACTATCATTCTCACTTTATCATTAGGCCAACTCTTTATCACCGTGGTTGTGGGAGTCTCAAAAGAAATTATGAATGGGTAAAAGAGAAGCATGAGGAGAGACAAGGAAAAGTAAGAACGAGAACTTTAATACTCTTTAGCAATAAAATTAAGGATTTTGCTACGGTGACATGCATGGCACCATGACATGGACTTTTCGGTCGACCTAATCCAAAATGCGGTCGACCGAATTGACTAATTCATGTATGTGAGGTTCCGAGATGCGGTCGACCTCTTACATAATATGGTCGACCGCTTTGATGGTCTAACAGAATGAAAGGTCGACCCAAATACCTCATAGGCCGACCCTTGTGCACCTAATAGGTCGACCGCCTTCACACCGTATCCGTATTGGATACGGATTCCAACACCAGAAAGGTTCCACAATTGAATAAGGAAACGAATTGGGTCGACATTCACGTCCTAAATCTCTATAAATACGAATATAAGTCCCCTTCAACGCCACCAAGTCCGAATTAGGTTTTTTTTCCCGATTTAGAGCCTTTGTGAAGAAGATCGTTTGCGGTTGCTGTTGTACGTGTTGGAAGTGGTCGACCAGGTCTAAGGTGAGGTCGACCTAATGTAGCATTCGCCGTCATCTTTTCTAATGCGTGATTTCCACCGTCTAATTTGATATTTTGTTGCGTGCAGAATATCATTCGGTCGACCTTGACATCAACCAGGTCGACCTGATGAGACAATTCTTCGTATTTGAATTTATGAGTCCTTGTTATCATTATTTATGACTATTTATGATGGTTTGAAACATTATTTATACGAGCAAAAGAACCACACAAATCGACATACATAAGCAAAAAAGACACGGGGCATAGGTTAACTTTCTTGTATTCGGTCGACCTCGTACCGTATTAGGTCGCCCTCGAAACCAACACTTGATATTCATTTTACGTCAAATTATTGGACATATTGATAGAACACTTATCTTCTATCTGGTCGACCGCTTTCCTTATATGGTCGACCATTTTGTTAATGACTGCCATCAAGTGGTCGACCTATGTACCTTTTCGGTCGACCATGTTGTTTCTGACGCCAACGAAATGGCCGACTGAGGTTTTATTCTGGTCGACCAAAAATAACAACTTAAACTAGGTGCGGTCGACCAGGTGATCGTTGAGGTCGACCGCAATGATTTCTCGTACTGCACAAATTAGTCAATTCGGTCGACCGTCTTCAGGATTAGGTCGACCGAAAAGTCCATGTCACGGCGACATGCATGTCATAGTAGGCATACCCTAAAATTAAATATCACTGTATGATTTTAAACACATTTAGTGCATATGTTCATATAACACGAGAGATTAATCACTACGATCAATCCCTAAACTAATTCACCACAATCAAGGGTGGAGTTAGAATTTTGTCTAAGATGGGTTGAAAAAAATACTTATGATAAAATAGTTTTTGCTAACTCTTTCAAGCATATATAGTATAATAATCTCTTTTTTTTTTTACAGGTTAGTATAGTCTTATATTTGGAAAAGGTTGGTAAATTTAAATACGGTGTTGGTCGAAACTATAAGAATATCATTCTCTTGTACCAAACAATTATTCATGATTTAGTTAGTCGTTCCCTTTCGAATGATGTTCTTTGTCAAGAACCATTTAGTGTCAACAACTCGAGTTGTTGGGAGACGTTCAATAATAAATATTACACGATTTACTTCAAACCCCATCAAACGAAAGCCAACTTACATGGATTTGAAATTTATACAAATCCAAATACCATGTACTCAACAAATATATCGAAAATTGAGCATACGACCTCTCAGCCAACCATTCTCAATTAGGGGCGTCTTAATTATCATTCTCAACTAATTACCTGATTTACACATTTTCCTCACGAAAATTAGCTATGATTTGTTGAAAATTTTGTTATTGATATTGAATAAGTACAATGTTAATTTTGAGCGGATCATATACATCATTGCCATATATACACAGCTCGTTACAAACTTTTTGAATATATCATACGTAAAAAAATTTGTAAGATTAACCATCCTCAATTAAGTACGCCTTAATCTTAACTGTCAATTAGCTATAATACCTAATTTACCCATTCTCCAGAATTCAGGGACCCTATTACACTCTTCCTCCGCTTCTAGTACAATCTTTCTGTCAAGTTTTCCCTCGCCTCTTATACTACACACAAAACATTAGGGCTGACTATTTGGTCCTGGACTGTTTGGTTTTACCCGAAACCGGACCGTATAACTCAGACTAGGACCGGACTGCAAACAATCCAATCTCATATTCGGGCTTAGATTTGAGGTAAAAAAACCCGAATAAAGACCGGATAAGAGACCCCCAACACCTAAAATCAAGATCAAATTGGGACCGGACCGGGTCAAGACCAGACCGAATCAAGACCGGACTGTATCCAATTCAATCTTTAATCCTTATATTCCTGAAAAAATCGGACTGGGACCAGATCAATTTGGTCCAATTTAACCGGACCGTGTAGCCACCCCTAAAACATTGCAAGTGACAAACACACACCTGTCACTCTTTTATTATTTTCGAGAGCTATTTACAACAACATATGTACAAAAATCTAAGCTAAATCACACACCTAACCCTCTAACATAGACTTGAGAATGGCCAGCATTTTGACCATACATAACGGAAGCGGCATACTATATAGCAGTATACATTTCTACTCGAACCAAAAATTTCTCGTCTCATTCTCAGAGTCCTTCAACGTGTTTGATTGATTAGATACAATTTCTGGCCATCGTCAATCATATTCGCATCCAATATCCTGCCTCCATCCTCCGTCACAACACAAGTAGAAGAAGTGGAATCTTCCTCGCCCTGAAACTCCAGCTGCTCGGCTGCAGCTTTTATGAGCTCCTCAATGGACTTTGGCACCCATAATAGTATACCAACTCTCTTCCTCTCCTCCTTAGGACACCATGGATGGAATGGGAACACCGTGCATTTTCTTGAGTGATGTGTTTCTGTCACAAATTGAGGGATGCACAAATAGTTAGAAGCTAGAGCTCAAGTTGCATTAGGAGAAGATAATTTCTATGTGTTAGAACGGGTCGGGATATCGACAATGAAAGAAAATAAAAAATATAAAGGTTTACATGGTTCACTAACACAATGTGTGTTATCTAGTCTACTGGTACGAAAGAGCCCGTTTCACTATACTTGAGGATATATAGATCACAGGGTGATTGAGAAGTATAAATAGTCCACCGACAGACATATAATCCAATTCAAGTCATATCAACACACGATATCTTATCGGTAAAGCTGATTAGTGAAACCCACAAGTTAACTGAGATAACTATTCATTATGGGGAAGACTAACATGCATGTAGCTCCATGGAACAACTCCGTATTCTTTTTTGTTAGTGGACTCTTACCTCTGGTTCCCAGAGGGCTATCACCCATTTCTGCCATCTGTGCAGTCTTAGCACCGTCCAAAAGCTTGATCAAATTCTTATTCCCACACTTGCGGCCTTCATCCAATGGCGTGTTTCCCCACCTACAAAGAGGCAAGCCGTAAGCCATCAACATCTTTCATTGGTTTATAGCATAACAAGCATTAGTTGATTAGTGCTACCTGTCCTTTGTGAAAACACTGGCTCCAGCCTCTACCAGCAATTTGGCCATCAAGTAGAGCCCTTCGGAGGCAGCTACATGAAGTGGAGTTCGGTGGTCGTAGTCCTTTGAGTTGGGATCAACCCCGAAGGCCAAAAACCTCTTGAGGAAATCAGAGTCTCCTCTCACAACTGACGTGCACAGGAAGCTACCTGCATCGTCTATGTTCAGAGAGGCACCTTTCTCGACAAGTAATGATGCAACTCGATCATGCCCGCTTTTGATAGCTTCCATCAATGGCGTGTTCCCAAATTTATCTGTGAACATGTATCCAGGAAACCAAACATAATCAACAAGTCAGTCACCGTGGCTTGATTGAACCAGGCCTAATCTATACATGAATCAAATAGAATCCACAAGTCAGTTACTGTGGCTTGATCGAAACAGGCCTAATTGATTAATGAATCAGATTAGCACAAGTCAAAATTAATTCGACTTGATCTTGATTCAAATGTATGAAACTTTCCCCCAATTTCAAAATTAAAGAAACTATAATGGACCAAATGGAATCAAATGTGCACTCTTTCCTTATTTTGCTCAACATATATCCTTCATTTTCGGTTGAATCCTTTACCAATTTCGGTTGCACTTTGGAATGACTGGACCACAAGGAACCATGATCAGGGGGTGGTTTAGTCTGGTCCAAAATCATAGGGACTGATAAAGAAATGGAGAAGATGAGAACAATACCATAAAGAGCACATTAATTCAGTTTGATTTCCATTTGATCCGTTTGATTCTTTGTTTTTAGAATACTGAAACCAAATTTTATCACAAATATCATCGAACCCAGTCCCACCGAGAGTCCAGGTTTGATTCGATTGGGTCTGGAACTGAGAGCATAATCAATGTTAGTCACATCAAGTTACCTTTTACGTCGACATCAACTCCCTTCCCTATGAGGAAGCTAGCCATGTCTTCATAACCCCTCGATGCTGCAAGATGCTGTTTCCCAAAGAAGCAAATAAGTGTCATCACGGTAATCATAAAAAGAAAAGTTCAAAGCTATATGCAAAACCCAAAAAAGCCAAAGCGTTAACAGATTTCAGTACCAACGGTGATCTGCCATCATAATCAGTTCTGTTGGGATCAGCTCCAGCTCGAATGAAACCCTTAAGCTGGAAGAGATCCCCATGGAAAGCCGCACTATTGACTCTCAAAGCAAGCTCAGCTTCTTGCTTCCCTATGTGGAATGTGATGTCTGATTCAAGGTTATTATCCCGCAGAGTTGCTTCTTTTGCCTGTCAACAAAAAGTTCCGCCCCTGAAACACAGTTTTTCGCGTTCCATTCCAAAACGAGCTATAAGATTATAAATGGCATAGAGACTGAGAGCTTCATGTATGTACCTGTAGGAGGTTGTTCAAGATCTTACGCCCATCGTAGAAGAATATCTCAAGTATGTCCGAGAAGGACTGTTTGTCTAGTCTGAGGAGTCTGCATAGCTCACAGACTCGAACTGTGTAAGGTTGGGGAATGTTGCAAATGATTGAGATTTCTCCAAACGAGCTGTTTGGTTGTAGTAGTGAAACGGTTTCTTCTGATCCATCTTCTCCCATCCCAACTTCCTCCTGCTCCATGGAAAGACCAAAACCAAAAACTCATAAGAAATAAGTCTTTCAAGTTGTAGCCATTAATGTCTGAATATAGATAAAGTAGCATTAGAAATGGAATCACCATACCAGGGCGCCCTGGCAAACGAAGTATAGCTGATCTACAACACTTCCTTGTTCCAAAATTATTTCTCCTGGAAGAAAAAACTCTTCATGGAGCCTAACAGCCTGAAATATGAAGAGAACATATGTTAGAATAGAGTAGAATGTGTCTGTAGGCTGGAGAAACTCTGATACCACAGATGACTTACAATCTGATTGATAAATTCTGTGGAGCACCCATTAAAGAGGACAACTTTTTCAATGATGGGAAGGTATAAAGTTTCTGAGATCTGCAAGGAAGAAGCTAATCTTTAGAAAACAAGAAAATGGGGCACTTTTGCAAAGAGAAAAGAAAGCAATCAAGATTTACTCGCACGTCCTTACCTTAGCACGGATGGAAATTGGAATTTCCTGAAGAACAGAGGCCTCAGTGTAGCTACGCTCATACTGCAACCTCAAATGGCCTGTGATCTGGTTACGGATGTCCCTTCCAAGTTGATTCCTGTTCATATACTTGATGAGGTCCGTCATTTTGTCCCTGTACTTCTCCGTCTTGGATCCTTTCACGATTAATGCGGTCATGTTGCCAATCAAGTAAGCACCGAGAATCATGTCGAACGATACATAGATCATGACAAATATCATCTCCCTCAAGTTGACAGCATGGATATCACCGTACCCTGCCATTAGATTGTAGCATATTACCTCAGGACATAAGCAAGAGACTGTTTGTGTGTTATTGACTGCTTAGTTGTGTGTGTGTTGAGAGATGATTGCTCACCTACTGTAGCCATGGTCACAATGGCGAAATATAAAGATGTTGTGTATCGTGTCCAGATATCAATGTCTCTGAATTGTGCATAACTGTAATCACCCATCTTCAGACTCCCAATCCATGTGTAGCCTTCACTGGAAGCTGGTAAAGTAGTGGCCAAATAGTAAAATATGCAGGCTGCTGTGTGTGTACAGTAGAGCTCGACTACAATGAGCTTTATGATTCGAGTGAAGAGATAATTAATCCTTATGTCCTTCTCCATCTTGTAGAAAAATTCTATAACTCTCCGCACCCGCCATAATCTTATCCACAAAAGATACCTCACTTCTTCCCTACGCCCAGAAACCTGTAGAAAGAAAATTTCGCCAAGAGCATGGAAAAAGAACACGAATAAATGACAACATTTATCTCTTTTGTTTTAACAAGTACATTCTTTTACTATGAATCTACACAATAAATAAAAGCCAAATAAGAAAACTTGAAACTCCATTTCAAATTTCCTGCATCCAGAGTGGAAGTAGAAAGGACATTATGGTCTTCACAATTACTTTTTTTTATTCATTAAAAAGACACTTACTAGGATTCAAACCATGACCACTGTAAAGAAAAGCAAAAATCATAACCAATCACACTAAGTACATTTGTTGTATCTTTTTAAATTAAAAACATATAATCGCAGAGAGGAAAAAACCCTACCACCATTTTAAATTCCCTGCTCCAGGAGCGTTTGTAGGAAGGGTAGGATAGAGAGTGTCAATTTTTTCCTTTTTCCTGCTCCGTACAAATGCGGATTTAAACGGGTCCAGGAGTGTCAATTTTTTTCTTTGAGTCCTTTTATTTCTCCATGGTGGTAAAATATATATATGAAAATGCAAAAATAATGCTCCTTTTTATTGCTAAAAAGAAAAAAATTTAACAATAAACTAATGCATAGATTCTAATGGGCTAACCGCTAATCATAAAATAAATGAGTTGAATGGGCCTGACCTACACGGGATTTGCCCATCAAGTAAAACAAATTAACATCATGGGTTTGCCATTCTAAAACAAGCTATTTTCTCTAGGATAATATATGTTATGCTATTATTTTATATCTTAGTGGCTAAAATATAATGTATTTTAAAGTTATTCAATGGTTCAACCTCGGCCAACCCAATTAGTCCAATTTTTATTATGTCAAATATATATTATGTAATTATTTGATATCATAATGATTAAATTATAGTGTATATTATAGGGAATCTATTTGGTTATTTTTAACATTAAAACGATCCTAAACATTTTCAGTTTCCTTTCGAAATTCTATAGTTTTATTCCCGAATCAGTGATGTGAAAATGACGAATTGCAGTCATCTCTTTTCTTTCATTATTTTTTATTTTCAAATAGAAAGTTTAAAAGTAAAGAATAATTAGTGTTTGACATGGGTCGGTCAAACAGGTTGAATTTCAAGTTTTGGTTCGTTTTGATCAAGTCTAATTTATAACCACATGGTTCCCTGATACCCGATAAAAATCTCAATCCAAACCAGTTTGGCAGGTGAGTCCGTGTTTACCACCATTTTCTAGGGATACAGGAACGGTGGTTCCTATCCCAAATCGTGTTGTTCATTATTGATTTCATTAGATTTTATCATGGCTTGGCAAAAAACCAGAAAGCACAATGATGACAAGATGAAAGTTTTATAAAGCAAATTAATCGGCCAAGGGGCCGAGTAAAAGCTAGCAACGATTGTGAGATGCTCATTTCCCGAAAACTGGCGGGATAGGCGATTTTTTATTCAATTTTATGGAATTCGGTTTCTATAAAACTTACTCCAGCTCATCATATTACCAGAAACAATATTGTTTCACAAGGTAACAGGTACTTGATTTTGGTTCATGAGGCTGATTTTTGATTTGTTGCATCATTCATGTCTCTTTCCTACTAAAATTCACTATTTTTATCACGTGTTTCCCAAAAAAAACTTTGCAACAATAAGCTATACATCCTATTACATTATCAAATTTCATACCTCACCTTCCTCCGGCCAAATGACCGGGCCCACACTAGTTTTAAGAAGAATACATTTATGTATTGGTCTCAAATTAAAAAAATTCATCCAAATTCCTTGCTAATGGAATCGACTTATATTTAGTAAGTACTTTCTTGTTCTTGATGATTCACATGCCACTATACTAAAAATCTATTTCTCACCTCTCAATCTGGCCTTGTTGATTAACTTACTTGCTCTCGCTGCTTATATTTAAGTAGGTATTTTCTTGATGATTCAAATGCCACTGTACCATAAATCTATTTCTCACCCCGCAATCTGACCTATTAACAAATCTTGGCCTCCCCAAGTCTCAATTGACGAATACTCCATTAAATGAGAGGATTTATGAGATTCAAGTTGAAAGGCAAGATGTGAATTTTTAACATACATGACAATGATAATCATTTAAAGTGTGCTTATTAAGCATGATTCTACCCCTATAACTTAGTTGGATGTAGTCAGTAATCTAGGGACTGAAAAATGAAACACAACACAGTTGTTACAGGTCATAGTAAGAAACGTGTTTATAAAACTACATAGTTGAGCTAGAAATCCCAATAAGCCAATAAAGGCACTACTCTTTTAAGCAGGAAACACTACACAAGCAAACATCTCACGAAACTTGTGTTTGTTATCAATTTGAAACTCAGACAAGTTACACGCCAAGGTAAATGGGCAATGAGAAGATTTTTGTCTAATTTCACTAAACAGCAAGCTCACAAAGTAGCTGAAACATGAAATGGCTACAACAAGGAGAACAGAGCAAGTCAAATACCTGGTAGATGATGTCCCAAGGCATGCAACCAAGCAAATCAACGATAAAATGAGACTTTAAATACCTGTAACGAGACTAAGAACAAGGGATTCCAATTAGCAAAATGTAAACACTAACATGACATATAATGTAAATTTGAATTATCGGATAAAAAAGGAGTTCTTTGTAGAAAGAAAAAACACTGACCGGAGAGCAATTGGTGAACGTTTATAGACCATGCGATAAGTTTGTGGGTCTCTGTAGGAAATAAAGAACTGCAGAACAATGTCGAAAAGGAAAGCAATCTGCCCTACTATGTCCAAAATGAAGAGGTTCTCAGGTAATCCCCTGAAGAAACCGAACTCCATGGGCGTGAAGAATGAAGAGTATACTGCCCACAGCAGAATGAACTTCGACCATGCACGATACCACCTGCAGCAAAAAAAAAAAAAAAACACACACACTTCCTTTAGGAATAAAGATGGAGGATTTATGTATAGGGTAACTACAATATATTACCCACAACTATTATGAAGCGGGAAATTATAGCCACACCTTTGGAAATTTAAATTATTAACCAAACGTTAACTATTTGTTAACAATTTCGTTAGTAATACTGACTAAACTTTTATGTTTTAAAGTTATAAATTAAAAGCATTCCGATGTGGCCGCTGCCGTGGCCAATGAAGTGACCTTCTCCGTCAAAAATTCAATAACAGTAACGGACAGTTAGCCATATCTTGACCCGCAACAATAGTTATGACTAATAATTTGCATTTTCATAGTTGTGGCTATAATTCCCCGCTTCATAATAGTTGTGACTACTATATTGTATTTACCCTAAAGAATATAAGTGTCAAAGCCAAAAGTCAACCTGCTCGTGCTCTCCTATCCATTATCCAGAACATGTAGAGCACCATTAACAGTTTTGGAAACAGGGGATTAAGGTGAAACTACGAACAAGTGGGTTTCCTTGGAAGTTTTTATGTTAGGCCAAATTCAATGAAAGCTTAAAAAGGGTATTCAGACATCAGAGGCCTCAGATTAAAAACTAAAACATGACACAAAAACTTTGTTGAACAGCTGCTTCTGCCACTGTAAAAAATTTGTCCGCTAGGCGCTAAATCTATGATCTTGGGTTAAAACGCTTTTCTGAAACTTTGCTAGTATCCGATTACCGATCTACGGCCAAGGGAAAATCACTACTACAGTAGACATGGGACTAAAATGCAATAGAAGATAGGTGATCGGTGCCCCGGGCCACTGGGCCAGGGCCCATGGGGAAGATGAGAAGTCATAGAAATAGCGACAAAGATTGGTTGGCAACTGGGATTTCGCCACGACGCTGCGAAACCTAATAATAGACTAAAACATGGGCCAGGCAGGCCACGTCCACAATTAACATGGCGGGAATGGCGGCCTCTTTCAACTGGAACCGCCGACTAGCGAAATATGTAACAACCATTAATAATTAAAAAGTATGAAAAAACTAGGAACTGAAAATGATACCGTAAACAGATTAAATTCTCCATTAAATTCATTTCAGAGGAAGAAAAAAACGAAAGGAGGTCCTAATCCTAATCATGCTCGGTGTGACCAATGAATGACCTACACGTGCAACAACAGTCAATTGCTAAGCTGATTTTAGTAACCACAATAATTAAAAACTTACAGGGAAAACAAAATTAAGGACAATCTTCCATATTTCACATCACGCGCCGCTAACTTTTAATTGTTTTTACCGTCTCCGGCGGATTCGCAAATCGCAATCGACTTATCATTGATCAAAATATTGACGGAAATTGACGAAAATGGGAAGAATGAGAGAAGAGAGAGAGAGAGAGTGACCTGTTATCGGGATGGATGATGAGACCTTTGGAGACGTAATGGAATCCATTGATGAGAGATTGACGGCTGAACTTGCTCGTGCTGGATCCTCCGCCGCTCCCTCCCCCTCCTCCGGCCCCGCCGGCATTCCTCCTGCTCAAACCGAACTGCCGATCAATCAGATTGAATCTGCTCCCCATCGAAGAACCTAATCTCTCCCTCACATCCTGCACTTCGAACTCTTCCTCCTCCTCCTCTTCCGCAGCCGACGCCGTCACCACCGCCTCCTTCCTCCTCTCGCCGCCGGTCATCGTCTGTTCAAATCAATCACAAACTCCCGGCGGTTCGATTGTGGATCATATGTTCAGCTCGGGATGAGAATCGAGACCAGATGACGATCGATGACGGTGTGGAAACCGTTAAGGCGTGTACTGTTCTGCAAATTGAAAGGATTCCCGAGATGCAGGCAATGGCGGGGAGGGGGAAAAAGGGATTCAAAAGGAGGATTGATTGCTTAAGAGGCTGTTTGGAGGGTTGGAAAACCAATCGGGAAAATGTTTTCTCAGGAAGAAAGAGGGAAACGGATTTTGGGAAAATTTAATGATGGAAAGGGAAAGAACAAAATAGGAAAAAGTTACTCGATTGCCACTTTCTAGGCAGCGAGATCTTCGGTCAGGCAATTTATAGACGCGCGCCCTGTCGCGTCGCTGTCGTCTCGCAGTAACAAAAAATTTATTTATTTAATTATGAAATTCCCAGTTAATTATAGTTTAGACTATTATTTTACCGTTTAACTAATCCTGCTTATCAAATAAAAAACTAATCCTGCTTATCTCTGTTTCTTAATCTTATTTCTAAATAAAGATTACGCTACCTAGCTCGTAAGTGCTGATTTGTAAGCTTTGAGGGTAGACCTAGAGATAGCCTAAGAAGATAAAATTAGCAAATTCCTAGAGTTCAAATCTTAATATTTACGAATATTTGAAACAAAATGCTCATCTCTGTTGATTGATAGACTTAATGCTCTCTATGATTCTTCTTCCTATAAACTCAAATCAAGTAACATAAATTTCTAGCTACGGCTACAAAACAAATAATAATTAGCTTTCCTTTTTCGTTACAGAGACATTATCAAAAAAAAATTATAAACTTCTATACGTTTGTTAAACCTTGTGTTGTTTGTTTCTAATACGAAAAACGGTTCGAAAATGACCCGGAAAAGAAAACACACGAGGGGGGTAAATTAAGGTGGGGAGCTAAGCCCCATCTAATCCCATTTGTGAATGGAGTTTTATAAAGGCATTAAGAGAGTCTAAATATGGGTTTCAATTGGGGCCTATAATGGGAGCATAACTAAATTAAGTAACGTTGGATTGCAAGGAGGCGGATGAAAAGTTTGCCTAAAGCTATGGAGAACCTAACGCATTAATGCAATATGGTAATGATAATGCTAAAAAAAAAAAAAAATACAAGTTCTAATAAGTAATCACGAGTTATGAAAATGTGACTACTTAATTAAGGCTAAGGTTTAGTAAGGCTATAATTATCTGTCTGTGTATGATCAGAATTCTGACCTAAAAGAATTTACAGCCAATCAAACAATAATTTCTTCACTTTTTTTTTTATTATCTTTAATACATTATCACTTATAAAAGCCACATCCTTGTCAAATACAACAAGTTTGAAGACTACTCGACCAAGCTCATTAAATAAAGAAAAGGGGCACAATTTGCAAACTTTCCTATCAACTGTCATCAAGTTGTCAAAACAGAAATCTCAATCTAGCTATATTAATTTAATCGGGACCGCTACGTACCTATACAAAAATGAGCTGTTTTCCCCGATGATCATGATACAATCCCTATGGCTTGAAATATCAATCAGCGGGACCAAATGGGCTTCACCTCTTCAAAATCAAATCATTAGTACTGTGATGAGAAATAGGAATGACAATGAGTCGAGTGAAATGGTTAACTTAGCAACGAAATGATGATTGATTAATCGAGTCAAATCATTCGAAATATGTAGTTTTCTTTAAAGTAAACTTAAATGTAATTTAGGTAAAATGGATAGAGAATGAGGTGGTCAGGACAAGTTATATCGAGACGAGTATTCATGTCCGTCCCGTCTATGAGACGGGTATAACCTGCAAAAAATAGGTCAAACAGATAAGATAAAACATATCAGATCGGATAAAATAAATCGGTTCGAATTGACATCCAATATATACACATCATATACTTGTATTTTTCTTGAACAACGAAGCGCTCTCCCAAACACATAGATTAGATATCAACATCTAATGTAATTGAAATGCATGCAACATGTGCAGTTAAGAAGGTTGACATGTATCTGAATTAGCTCAATTGCTTAGTTAATCTCCTAAACTTCATGTAGAATCACATAGTTAAACATTATATATATATATTTTATTATTATAAAGCGACGGCTAGACTTTGATTGTGTGTTTATAATGTTGATCAGACGATGAATCAGCGGGTTTCTTATTAAAACCCAGCATTATTTTATATTCATTTTTGGTTATTCAATTATGATTACTTATGTTTAAATTAATTATATGTATATCTAATTAGTGATGGCATTCTTATCATCTCAGTAGATACTTAGATTGCGCGCAAGGGATGTAACTTGACAACCTAGATACTAAAAAGAATGGACAAATGGGTGATTAGTGAGGGAAATGGGATGCATATGACTTGAGAGAAAAATTACTATATAATAGTTTTCTAAGTGAGCTTTTTACTAGTTAATTGGAGGACATTTAAGAGACTTTGAAATCGATCTCTACTTTAATTTAGTCGAGCCAAATACGGTAGTTGAAGTTCATGTACTCCACATCCATCACATGTTTGTCAAAAACAACCTAATCATAGTTTATCAATATTTAATACTAATCGTTCCTAGTAGAGTATAAACCGCAATTTAGATCGTCGGTATTGTTTGGTATAAACCGCAATATATACCTTGATGAATTCGACCCTACTCGTAAACCTTGTTTGATAAAGGAATGCATGGATCATCAAGATATGATCGATAATGTTCAAAAGCTAACTTAGAGTTGAGACCAAATGGCATCATGATACTTTAATGGTTTTATCAACCCCGAATGTTAAGTTAGAGTACTTCAACGAGAATTTTTTGGAACATGAGATGGCGAACTACCCACTTAACCATAGTCTCCAATCGGTGTAGGGCCAACATAAACATATATACCACTTCTTAGATAAAGATTATTAAAGGCTTCCCGCGAGGACAAGTTTTTTCATAAATACTCACTCTTACTAGTGATAACTAAATAGTCTTTGTCTTATATAGTTCCCGTATATTAATTTTTAGAATATAGTTCGAAGTTTGAATACAGACATTTGAAGAACTCTGTGCCTCTTTCCTTACACCGACCATACCCCTATATAAAAACACGTTCTCCGAAGTCTGGACCTCCAAAAGCTCATTCTTCTCATCTCATCCTGTGCATTGGTTCAATAAGATGTTAGAATATCAAAACAAGAAACTAGCTAGTATATATAATCCACCCATTCATCACTCTCCTTAATCTTTATTAATTAATTTAAACCCACAAACAAATTAGCTTTGGCTTCTTTTTTCTAAAGGTAGCTACCACTAATAACCACAAAAGGAATAGAAAACAAGTAGGGCTCATTTGCTAATGTTGGCCATCCCACATTCTCATTAAGTCGTCACCACTTACCACCCACGAAACTCCAATAGACCTTTCTAGGCACTCCAAACAATTATTAAGCAAACTCGTTGCATGCTTATACATTGAGGAATTGATTAGTTCTTGAATCGTGCTTTAATTTCCATCCACTTAATTAATTATTGATTTAACTTTGAGGGTCTGAAATTAGTAGGATTGGGAAAATAGATCAGACCGTTAGAAAAACCGTGGTTCAAACCGTACCGCACAGTTTGGTCCGGACCGTAGACCGTAAAGTATGGTCTGGTCTGGTCCATGGTCTGTATTATTTTATGTTTTGATCTCTTGGTCTGGTCTGGTCTGGTCTAGACCGCGGTTTACCGGACCAAACCGTGAACCCAACTGACTTGTCAATACGTGTTAACAGCCCATTCGACCACTCTCCCAACTCCCACGATGACACCCAAGTCTCAACCTTAGTTTTGTGAATCTCGTCCCTCCTTCATTCACAACCACATTTAACCAGAGAGTAGAGATAATCGTGTCTCCATATGAAATTATGTTAATGTTTATGACATTATGGTGCAAGTTGGGGATGCTTTTACTTTGTATCTTTGTTATGTACTAAGATCTAGAGTATCAAAATTATTCATGCATGTTAGGATTAATGATTTAAAGCAAATGACAATTATTTTTCCTGGTTATTGGTTCAATTTTTTGTGTGGTTGACTAAACAAATTATTCATTTTTCGTTGAGTGTGGTCTATCTGAACCAAACCAGACCAAACCAGACCGCACAGGCGTGGTTTGGACCAAACCGTATAGTTTGTGGTTTGGTCTGTGGTCTATACTTTAGCCTCTCGGTCTGGACCATAGACCATATATATGGTCTGGTCTGGACCAGACCGCACCGTTTCCCGCCCTAGAAATTAGGAACATTTTGTTTTGCAGTTTAGTGACTATTAGTGGTATGCAAATAAACAAGATTTAAAACAAGCTCTGATGGAGGCCCCACGTGATTTGATCCATTCACATCCCACAGCTAAATTAAACCACCATTAAGGATGAGAGAAGGACACTAAATCAATAAGCACATCGATTATGTGCATTTAGGAGTAAATATATGTCGGAGTGAGATAACATGTCACATTTAGGGCTGTCCATTTGGTTTTGGTTTTTCGGTTTTAACCGAAACCAAACCAATTGGAAAGCTGATGGTTTTGGTCTTTCGGTTTTAAACCATTTAGAAACTTAATGGTTTTTATTCGGTTAAAACCAGAAAACCAATAAGAAATCAATATGAACGAAACGCTTTAGATCCCTCATCCTTTTCAACGAAACGCTCGCGCAACTCTTTCTTTTCGTTGCTCTGAAAATCCCGAGAACCAGAACCCTTTCGAAATCCCTAAACCCCTTTCGAACAAAATGCTCTCGCCTGCGCACGAAGGCACCTCTCTTCAGCTTCTTTTCATTGCTCTGAATCCCTAGAACCCTTTCGAGGCACCTCTCTTTTTCTCGTTGCTCTGAAGCCGGCTATCTTTGGCAAAGGCAGAAACCTGAGTAGCTGCTCTGTGGCCGCTGATTCGTTGTCGATTGAAGAGAACTGGGTCGTCGGCGAATGACTCCTCGCCTTCTCCTACTCCATATTATGTTCTGAACTTGCCGCCTTTGTTCAATGGAATCTCAATGAGTCCCTCACATAGCTTGCTTTCATCTGTCTTCCCCTATTCGATTTGTTGATTTTTGTATTTGGGTTTCGTTTCTGCCATATTTGGGTTTCGTTTCTGCTCCGCACGTGGATAGAACAGAAAACAGAATTCTCGCCGCTAAAGTAGGAAACCCACTCCAGGGAGCTTTGAATTTGGGTTTCATTTCCATTGTAAAAAGAGTGTCTAGATTAGGGGTGGTAAACGGTAATCCGGTAAACGGTTTACCGTTTTACCGAACCGGTAACCGGCGGTAAACGGTAAACCGTTTACCGGCGGTATCGGTAGCCGAGCGGGAAGTTGGGGGAGTCGGTTTACCGAAAACGGTATCGGTAAATACCGACGGTAAATCGGTATTACCGATACCGAATCCCCCCTCCCTACTCCCTAGTGTTGCGCCTCAAAAATATTGTAAATAAGAGTTAATATAAAATATTACATACATGAATGTAAGTATAGGCCTCAAAAATATTGTAAATAAGAGTTAATAATAAATTATTAATTACTAAAATGATGAAAAAAACTCAAAAAAATCGAAATATTACAACATCACCCCACTTCCAGAGATTCGGTTCGGTAAATATTCGGTAAACCGACCGAAAAAAACCGCCCGAAATCGCTTCTCACGGTATTTCGGTAATACCGGTTTGTTACCGTTTACCGGTAATTCGGTAATCGGTAAACCGGTTACAAACCGGTATCGGTAATCGGTAACCAGTTTGGCCAACTTCGGTATACCGAAACC